CTGAAAGATGCTTTCTACTCAGTTGACTGCGAAGCTCTGATGGGTTCCGTTCTTTGAAAAGGAATGCCACAGAAGTGCGCAAAATTACTGAGGTTACCGCTTACATACCTATGCCTCCGAAGGCCTCAGTATGTTCGGGGGAGGGGTGTCTAGGGTTGCGGCTGGTCACCCTTCCCTTGCATCTGGCGAAATGCTCCCATACGACCAAGCGTCTCAAATAGCCTATGCTGAGGAAACCCTACTCACTGACTTCTCTTGACGGTGTTTCCCACCAATGTGAGAGGACGAAAAGCCGATACCCGGGGTTATAACCGGGTTGGTGGATCATTAGGGTAGTTGACAAAACACCCTGATTCCAAACCAAACATGAGGCGTACGAACCACACCCACACCTTTTCGGTTGTGGCAATGGTCACCGGCTTAATCGGGCTTTGAGGTGTATTGAGCACCTTGAACGTTTGACCCCGTCCGAAGAGCGTATGATCCGACAAACTGGACACCGGCTCCCAATGGACTGCGGTTTTCACACACCGCCCCTCTACCTTGCGGGTTAGGCTTTGGCTAGCCAAAGGCTCCGGTTTTGGATTCCTCAAGGGAATTCGTCTGCCTTGGCCTGGACAACCTGGCAGTATTCAGCCCGCAAGCCAATCATGAAACGCTTTTCTTTTTTATAAAGATTATTATACCGCGATTTGCTTGGCACACAGTCTTTCCTCAGACAATTGTGAAATATAATCATATAATAATACATACCTCTGATCAAGTGAGGGTTTATAACGAACTAAGCAGGTCATTCGTCACCAGCAGCTGCGTTCGTCAAGGGTGTCCTACTTCACCATTCCTATTTAATTTTGTTGTAGACGAAATACTGAAGAACGCACTTAATGGTCTTCAAAACGTACATATTGATTGGGCAGCTGGAGAAAAGCTGTGATTTGGAGTAAGCCGATGACATCATCTGGTGCTAAGTGATGTTGTCAGGCTCGGTGTCGCCTACTCTAGCTCTGAAACTAAATTACGAGGAATTAGTAATGGTGGATCGCATTTCCAACTTAGGTATTTGCGTAAGCAATGACGGTAATGCAGCAAAGGAGATAACCACCCGCATTTCCAAGGCTCGAGCAGCATACGTATGACTGAAACACCTTTGGCGTAGACGCAACGTTTCACTGAAGTTAAAAGGTCGTGTATATTGTGCTGCCGTTCGTTCAGTCAGACTTTTTGGTTGAGACCTTTAATTTGCGAGTGGAAGGTATCCATCCACTAGAGGTTTTCGAATATCGGTGTTTACGTAGTCGAACCCACGTGGGATGAAGCGAACAGGTTGGTAATCTGGAGGTAAGATGTCGTCCATTTGGGAGTAGCAGGGATAAACTTGCTACCTCAACTTCATATTAGTGGACTTCGCTGGCTAGGGCACGTATTGCTTATGTCTATCTGTCGTTTCCATACCGCGTTTTATTCGCTGTAGCTAATCCGGGCTGGAGGAAACCACGTGGAGGTCAACAGATGACGTGGAGACGAGGCATGAAAAAATGCACAGTCATTAGGTAGAGTAGTTGTCTCGCACCTCCCAGGTTGGAGTCCGAAAGACTCCGCAACTGGCTGGTTGGAGACATTGAAAAATATGGCAGCGAACCGAGAGCATTGGCGTTTTTGTTGACATTTATTGTCAAGCCAGGATGCTTGAAACAGTATGTATGCAGCGTTTGATTGTGCACTGTGTTGACCATTGTGGTTTGCTTTCTTCCCTATCCCTGTCCACCCTAATTTTACCAGTAACCTCCTATGCATTGTAATATTGGCAGCGATCAGTGAAGTTCACCTCACTATTTTGCTGTACGATGATGATTTCGTTTGAGGAAGTTGAACAGGAATGGCAAAATAAGGCACCGTTGAACACCGCTGCTAGTTACGAAAGACGTAAATCGTCACGCTACCACAAGTATGCGAGTAGAGTGATCTCAGTATGTTCACATACTTCTGGGGCTTTACTATGTGGAGCGAACCTATAAGGGATTCGCATTCAACCGAGTCAAAGGTTCTTTTTAGCTCAAGGAACACTAAGATTGTTAGTCGAAGATGTATGCGGTGCAATTCGAGGACATGACGCAGAGTGAAGATCTGGTCGATGCAACCGCAACTTGGTTGGAATCCTGCTAGCTGTTCGCGAAGATTCATCTCCCTTAAGGGTGTCAGGCGGCAAAGTATAACAACAGTTAACACTTTGTGATGATGCAAACGAAACTTATCCAGTGATGGTTAGCGCAGTCATTGTGTGATGCCTTCTTGAAGATAGAAACGACCAACGAATCACCTCAGGATAAAGGGATACCCTCATCCGAACAGCCGCTGCGACGCAACCTACCATTCGTGTCGACGAGAGTCAACAAAAAGCTTGTAAAGCATGAGAGGAAGCCCATCAGGTCCCATAGCCTTCATGTTTTTCGAATGGGCGATGATATTGTTATAAAACCCGATAAATGATCACCAAACGAAAGGACAGCAAGTCAGGATGATTTAATGGACTTAGGCGCTTACACATCAGACAGGCTTAATCGTATGACAACTGGAAGTGCTGGTAAGTCGGAAATAGCTATTGAACAACAAAGAATTAATTGAGGACGCTGGTAATGAAGAAGTGCAACTCAAGAACTGCACACGTCTTGAGCGAGCCAACAGATGTCCGATACTTTACTGTAAAGTAGCAAGGAAAGATGAAGTATAGTTAGGTGTTGCTGTCGGCTGACTACTACACTACACTCAATTCCAAGTTATCTCTGGTTAGCATTTATCCTTAAACCAATGAATTTGCAAGCGATATCGTTATATAACACATGGAGTACCTGCAGGAGTAGCTCGGCTCTCGCACTTGAAATATGCGTCCACAAATAGCACTGCGAGCAGGAGCGATTGCTTTTAATTTGGCTTCCAGTTTGCACAAAGTTGGAGTTGAGTCCTCAGAGCCATTTTCCCCGATTATGTATTGTTCGAAAACGGTAAACAGCGATTTGCGCAATTCCTCGTACTCATTTTCGTATGAGCTACCATTGTTCTCAGTGTCGGTTGCTTGACTATTAACAGTCAAGTGCGGAAGACTACTATCTCTCACACGATTGACATGAGGGGTGCATACTTTCAGAGCATGCCAACGAATGCCCTCATATAAAACTTCTTCGAAATTCTCTTTTGCTGAGCGCAGAGCGCTTAGAAATTCCTAAAAGTGACAGAAGGACCCAATAAAGCACAGTGCATGTAAGTAAAAATACCAAAAAGAGAACTACCATACCTTAAGTTCCATTCCGGAGAAAGTACCGGAACCGTTACAATGTGGCGCAAGTCGGCTTATGTGGCAGATCCAAATTATCTCGAGATAACACACAATCAGAAACAGTCAAAAACATAAGACAGGAAATATGATAAAACTTTCTAGATCAATCTGTTTCAATCACTGCTGCCTTCACTAGCATTAGACTGCCAAAATATATGACTGTCCGATCAATACTTGATTAATTCCAGGGATGAGGGAACCTTTAAGAACCGCGCAAAAGTTCTTGAAGTGATTCACGGGTTCGAGGCTGTTGCCCAAATGTCCCGGGTCCTTGAAAGGTATCTGTGTTTTCTTTTGGTTTGAATTACCTCTAGAACAGAGAGTACTGAAAAGGGATTAGTAGGGTTTCCCGCTCGAGGCGAGAAATAAAATGAAGACTTACGAACTCTTATATAATGCACAAGGTTTTTTTTCTTTTTATTAGGGAGGAGTAGATAAACCTAAGTGGCGGTCA